CTTTTTTTCCATTTGACATACCCAAAACCTAGAATTATTTTAAAATTTTAGAAAATAGAAACTAATAGAATACCAAGACAAATCTTAACTTTACTGATCACAAAAAGGGGAAATATAAATTCTAAATTGACTGCCTTCTTACCGATGTATTCAATGAATTCAGAGATGAATTCGGCATTCCTGCTTCTCTATTGCCTACTCCCATGTAAAATTCTTTTCCCCCTAAAATACCAAGGGCTCTCAGCTCAAACCCATTGAATGGAGCGCATGTAGAAGTTCCACCCCCAGTTTTGTTTTGGTCTAACTTTAGTTGGCTTCCTTTTTTTTGATTTGGTATTTAAAATCAGACCGTGTCTACAAAATTAAAATAATGCAAATAAGAAATGTCATTTAATTATTTTAAAATCACACACAACACATGAGGAAATAGTAGAGCAATAGCATGAGCAATAGGTAAGTAAACAACTTTACTTTTTGCCATTTATCAGGAGTTTTCTTCCATTGGCGAAGTCCTTGTGCGATTCCATGAACTCCAACAAGATTTCCCACTGGCACTCTCTTATTTTGAATGACATAATCACAGTAACATCAATGGTAATATAGGTACTGTATTTCGGCGGAAAAGGAACAATAAACGTATGATAAACGTATTCACCCTTGGTATTCACCGGCATTCAATCGTGGTATTCAATTTATTTGAAAAAAAAGATCATTTCTTCTTCTTAAGTCGTACTTTGAGGCAATGAACAAAAAATCCAGCTTTTTTCATCAAAACTATTTTCCAAAATCGAAATCGCCCGATTAGAATTCGATCGAAAATTAGAATTGATAAATACGTTACGATCGTATTTGTAATCGCGTTCGTTATCGAATTGCTCGATATTTTCGTTCCGTAAAACAGAATCCGGCTGCTGATTTTTATAAAAACGTATATTCACGTCTTCTCGATACTCGCCAGATTGAGAGATTAGATCGTCGAGCATGTAGCGCAATTAATAATAATCCATATTATGACATGCCGAAAGAAGTTTTTATTTCAGAAATTCTCTAATGTTTGCCTGAGAAGCACGTTAAGAATCCACTTACCAAAAGATGCTCAGTTTGGTAGGTATATTCGTACACACTAATCAACAACTAGGTAGTAAATAAAAATACTTAAAACTATCAAACCATTACACGAAAATCATTAAAAGAGAACGGAAGTTAACCTACGAGAAAAATGACAGCAGAGTAATGAGTGCGTTGTGACGTTGTCGTTTACTCCGATAATGCATACAGATTTAATACACACCATATTAAATTTAAGCATTTTTGGTGTAACATTAGAATATAATTTTTCGCGGCGCGTGTTGAATTGCACTTGGGAATGTCCTATTTAAAAACGCGTATCTTAAGACATTGTCAAGTGCATTAGAGCGCGATGTTGTGTTGTACTGCACGGGGGAATGGTAAAGCCATTCCCCCTCGCGGGTTAAGGAAATATTTTTTAATCAATTTGTACTGAAAAATTAATGCTATTATGGATTATGAAAATAATTCTTATTTTTCAGAATTTAGCTCTATATTCTGGAAGAAATCTAGTCAAATAATATAAGTAAGTCAATTTTTAAGCATTTTATTGGACTTGGTATGTGTTGCTTGTAAATTGACGATAAGCTGCCTAATCTTTTATATTATTAAAACTGCCTTTGAAGTTGACAGTAACTAATAGTATCATACAGTGTACATAGCCTTCTCAATTTTTGAGCTACCAATTCACCAAATATGTCAAATTTATCTGGCTTATTAT